CCCCTCCCCTGTGGTCCTGTGGTCTGGGTTTGGGGGTTTAAATGAGAGATTTAGATTAAGCTTATAAAGGCTTACAGTGTTTGTGGAGGGGCTTTATAAAATGTAAAGAAGGTTTGCAGACGGTTCATGAGGTTTCTGAAGGTTTGTTAAAGTTTTATACAGGTCTTACAAAGAATAGAGATTGTTTCTAGAGGGTTTTTAAAGGATTTTGCATGGAGTTGTAGAAGGCTTACAGGGGGTTATAGCTGTTATAGACGGTTTGCAGAAGGTTAGAGAGTTTTCTGGAGGGTTCGTGGAAGGTTTATGAAGGTCTTACAGAGTCTTTAGTGGAAGCTTATGAAGGTACCCCCCCTGTGGTGCTGTGGTCTGGGTCCTGTGCTGAGGGTTTATAAAGGGGGTCAAAGAAGGTCTCAGAGAAGTTTTGCGGAGAGTTCATGGTTCTGAGAGGTTATAGATTTGGCTTATTCCCAGATGAGGACCATACCAAGGGGGGGGGGGGCTGAGAACGCGGAGCGCGTATATAGGGATTACATAAGGGGATATAGGGGTTATATAGGGGTATATAAGGTTTATATCGGGGGGATATAGCGATTCTATAGGGGCATATAGGGATTATATAAGGGGATATAGGGATCATATACGGGGATATAAGGATTGGTTAGGGGTATATAGGGATTATCTGGGGGTTATTCAGGGATACTGGAAAAAAAGAAGAAACTACTGTTTAGGATTTAGGGTTATATTGGGGATACATAGGGATAATGGAAAATAACATGCTCCTTCCCAGGACCCTCCTAGTAACCTTTTTTGGGGCCATCGGGCCCCTGATAGTGGTACTTGGGCCTAAATAGAGGGTAGTTGGAGGGTCAAGGTTTGTAGAGGTTTGAACCTGTTGGGCCTGAGAAGTACGAAGAAAAAGGATCCCGATTGCTAGGTTGCAGGTGGACATCTCAGACTGCTGCAAGGCAACCTACCGACACCGATGCCCAGTGCTGAACGCAATCCCATTCTTGCTGGGATTGTCGATATGACTTGTGCTTCAGGCCTGTGTCTGTCGAAGCATCCGACGGAGCCTCACTGCAGGCTGGTCAGCTCTTGACAAGCTCTTTCAAGAAGCCAGGCACAATGATCAAGCTGTGCGAGGCGTGAATGAGAAGAGGTAGGACTGTTGTTCTAGCCGTGATGATCTGCAGCTGCTGGCATTGTTTCTCATCCTCCCCTGCCATATACGCTCCATAGAACCGCTGTAACGATCATGGCACGGACACACCCAAAAAAGACATCGAATTTTGCCTAATTTTGGAACCCAGGCTGCCAGCACATGGAAGGGCGCACGATTGAGGCTGTGACTCTGCTAGTTGGTCCAGGTGGTCTTGAAGGCTTCGAAAAACGTCCTTGCCAAGGCTTCCGGGCGAAGAAGCAAGAGCCCAAAAAAGTGCCTCTACTCGCAGACATCATTCGCCATATTGATATGTATCGATTGCAGGAGTCTAGGTCGCACGTCCCAGCAAGCAAAAGCTGCAGAGGATCGGCATGGAAACTCATGCAAGAGACATCTCCAACCCTATTCCTATAGGGTTCACGCCTGCTGGATACTCGAAAGCTGCGCAAGTACCACAACTCTCAGGTGAAATTCCGATCTCATCTCGGCCCTCAATACATCCCAAGCAGTAGCGCCTCAGCTCTCTGCTTGGCGCTGGCCATTTCGGTCACATGATCCTGGCATTTTGATGCATTCTCTTGCAGGACATGTGCCAGCTATAAACAACCCAGCATGTCAACGCCCTTCAACTGGCTTCTGACATCGGTCTTTTCTCTGGAAGGTGGCTGGCGAGCTTATGCTTCACGAGGATGCATGGGCAAATCGCAAGGTGGCGTGAAAGATCTGAAGCGATTGCGATGCCCAAGCTCTACCACATGCAGAAGCAAGGTTTTACGCCCTGCATGTGTGCTTGCCGCATTCCACGCAAGCAAACAAACCAATTCAAAGGCAATGAAACTACTACTACATGGACACATTGAACACGAGATCAGAAAAGAAGGAAATTGGGCCTAGGTCGACCTGCCCCAGTCAAAGCAAACTGATGGACAACTTGCTGCGCAACAAGGCCGACCTACCCTAGTCACAGTAAACCGCACAAGCCTGCGCAACCTCAACTGCCGCTTCTTAACTGCCTGAGGCTGCACCGGCTGACGACAACATGAACATCATTGCAGTGGCATGTACAACAACGATGCATACCTGGGGGAAGTACAATCAGATCCCATTTAGATGCACGCATGCGTGCAACCCGCGTTTCTCGGAAGGCAGGACTTTACGCAACTCCTGCCTTGCCACAAATTTAGCCTAAGTGACCTCTTTGGGAGAGCTTGGCACCTCCTTGTCAGTGCTGGAACTGGCTGGCTTTCGAGCATATCCCGCTGCAAACCACACGGCCCACACCGCAGCCGCAGTCAAGCATATCATGAAGGCAGCCTCATCGCGAAAGGCGTGGGGCCAGCTTCTGCAACCCTGCGTGCTACACAACCATGCTCGGACCTGATTCAAACAATCTAAAACAAGTTACCGGTGGGCCGAATTCCAGGATTAAAGGGCACAGTCAGGGACACCATCTGGCAAAAAGTGACCACTTCTTGTGTTCTGGCCACGCAAACTGCGCATGTCCGTGAGCGGCAGGGTCCACGACCAAATGCTGTTGAGACACATAAAAATTTCGGCCAAAAGCGTCGATCATCCAGCGTGCTATAAGGGGGCCCACAGCTCGCGGCATCCTTGCACATAATCAATTACAGGTGAATAACCCTCCACTATCAAGCCCAACCTATGTGAGATTGCATTGTCCCTCGGTGACATCAATGAGTAGCCCCTGTAAGGAAGCGCCAGCATCCAATGCCCAAATACTGAACAGGCCGCCGGGCATCTGAATGGCCAGATTCCGCACCACGATGAAGTTTTCAAGGCTGAACGTGCTATCCTGAGGCAGTGAGGCTTGACAAGGATCCAGCATGCTGTTGCTGGACGAGGTGCGGACCCTGGCCGTAGCACAACTGCTCGTTTGCAAATGTTTCAATCACAAAACGTTTCGGGAAGAAGTGGCAAGAAATGTGTTTTTCTGTATGCAACTCACATTGCAGCATGCGTTGGGACCTGTGGAAGGTCTGAAATCCTATATTTCTTTAAATCAAGAGCTCCATAATCCTCTATACATCCTGCAGCCAAGGTTCTGGCACTGCAGCTTGCGTCGCGATGCCCTCCATGAAGGCGGTGAGCTGAAACATACACGCGTACACCTGAATTGGATGGCTAGGGGCCGGAATGGAGGACCTTTAGGTCACCCAACATGATCTTGAAGAATTCTGCAGCGTTCCGGTAACAATACTAGTAGTAGTAGTACTAGTAGTAGTAGTAGTAGTAGTAGCAGCAGCAGTAGTAGTAGTAATGATATAGGAATTATCGGAAGTAGTAGTACTAGTATGAGTACTATAGTACTAGAAATAATAATAATACCAATGCATTGGATTCAGCGTATTGAATTCACATCCGTCTGCGCCCCTCCCTTTTACAGGCTCTGCTCCACTTCTGAAAGCAGAAAGTGTCACGACCAGTCCCACAAAATAGCACCTAGCTGATTTTGGGAAAACTGCATGAGCCTTGCATCCCACTTGCTACCTTGGACCGCGCATCTTTGAATCCGTGGACTTAGGAATCGCAGCGCGAAGGCACCAGCATGTCCGCAGTCATCAGCAGCATGGGCGAGCTGTGCTGCTTGCCCTTCCTTGCATTGCACAACAAACTTGCAATGAACCGACTTTCACATGACTCTAAAAGTCTGGAATTGTCTTTGAAGTGTCGGCTCGTGCAAAAAAAAAACTGAATTCAGCATAGGGGGATACAATCTGCCGGCATTGGTTTAACTCAGTCTGATACCGATTTGAGACCTGAAGGTGGCCAGGCGGCGTTGCTCCAAAGTCGAAGAAAAGGGAAGAGCCCACAACGCTGAAGAAAGACAGAGTTAGCATCAACACGTACTCAGACCTCAGCGTGCAATACCCAAGGCTGCCAAATGGATGAGCCAGATGCAGCAAAGCACGTGGTATTGGCTTCATGCTTAGACTTTAGGTGGACCCCCCATCAGGGATTGTGGGGACTGTGTTAAGGTCCTCTTATATTCCTACTAAACCACTATTACGGGGTGGGGGGTCCACCCATTTAGACTTCAAGCAGCAGAGTACCAGAATGGCAAGGGCCATTTGGTTTCCCTTTCTCTCGCCCAGACTCTGGTTTGTCCCAGTGCTTTGCTCGATGGAAAGCAGAAATAAGCAGAGTCTGCCCAAACCGAGTCTGTGGCGTGCAATCTCGTGTACTGTCGTGCGATTTGGTGCGAGTTCGTTGATTGTGAGTAGCTATTGCGTGCGATCCTGTGCAATTTCGTGCGCGCCACTGAGTACACCCTAAATTCCTGACTCTGTTTGTGTCACTCCGTTTAAGGATCAACGTGAGGCGTCTCTCTTTGAGGCAGTGCAGTGCGAGTTCTCGCAGGAGCTGCTGCCTTTCAGGTAGGCAACGGGGCAAAGGAAGCGAGCTTAGTCCATGGCTTGGTCATCCCCCTATACACCCCTATAACCCCTGCATTGCCCCCATTATTCCCTAAACAGTATGGCGGAAGTTTGGGTACTCTCCGTTAAAGGCGTATTGAGCTGGAAGCTGCCATCTGAGCCTGCACCCGATCTTAAGGTTTCCCAAAATTAGGGATACCTTATTGGGGTTACGGGGGGTAATATACAGGGGTTTATATAGGAATCTATAGGGGTTAGGGTTTCCCAACATTAGGGGTACCTTTTTGGGGGGTCCCCGCAATAACAATTCTCGTATTTGCGGGTTCTATATTTGGGAAACTACCATCCTAAGGTTGTCTTGTTAAGAGATGTGCCCTGTAGCTCAGTTCCCAAGGAGCTCAGGATCTGCTCCCGCTTTGTGGCTGCTTAACCCTAAACCCCTAAAACCTAAGCCCCTAAACCCCTTTGACAACTGGACTTGATGAGTGCCAGACATAGCACCCTAAACCCTGAACCCCTACACCCTAATAATTCTGCCCAAGGCACAGCAGCCTGTTCCGCACCAAGGCCACAAGAAGACCTGGCAGACAGGTTAAGGGTTTAGGGTTTCGGGTTAAGGTTTTAGGGTTTAGGGTGATGTGTGGGTTTCCCAAAATTAGGGGCTTGAGTGCGATTAGCCCAATAGTGGAGAATCAAATGGAAAAGAAAATAGAAAATGTGTTTACTTAAAGGATTTATAGGGATTTGGGGTTCTCCCTATTTAGGGGTACCTTGTTGGGGGTCTCCATAACAAGGATTCTTGCATTTCGGAGTCTATATTGAGGTTCCCCTATTTTGGATAGTGGCAGTAGTAGTAGTAGTAGTAGTAGTAGCTAATAGTAGTAGCTAGTAGTAGTAGTAGTAGTAGTCGGAGTAGGAGTAGAAGAAGAAGAAGTAGAAGTAGTAGTATCAACAGCAGCAGCAGCAGCAAATAATTATTAGTAGGAGCCCGGTCCGTTTCCGGGAGAGGTGTTTGCCGCATGCTTTTGTAGTTTTCCCTACCAGGCCCAAAATCATATGCGTAAAGGGGTGGAAATAGTAAAGGTTGCTTCCTAGTTTTAATCTTCTCTATTTAAAAAAAGACCTGAGCCTCTATATGCCTGTATTACATTTCCTATGCAAGCCAGTCCAGAATAGATTCTAGCCTCTAAATATTCCTAACGCAGGCATGCGAGAAACTATCGATCTCTTACTAAACCGCGTTCAAAACTCCCATCCCCAAACAAACCTCTAAAGGTTACCCTTATCCAAGCGCCCAAATCGCATTAACAAAGGGGTGGTAAGTCTGCAGCACCCCCGCAAAGGTTGCTTCGTTAAAGAAGCATTCCGGAATTGAGCCTCTATTACTTTTAATTTTCTTAAGCGTGCCAAGCAAGAGTAAATTCAAGCCATCATTCATGTTGCTATTTAAATCAAAAGGGACCCTTCCTTTAGCGGACCTTTGTTTCAAGATTGGTCCGCCCAGACCTGCGGGTGCCGGGGTTTATTGAAACAATCCCCACATTAACACCAATTTAGGGTACCCGGAAGGTCGTGCCCACAACCCCTACCCGTATAAGCTCCTATGCAGTTCTTTTTGGCGTTTGTTATGCTTTCCGGAAGGTAGTACAAAGTAGTACCCAAAAAGGAACTACATAGGAGGGTCCGTGCAAACCCTGGTTGCAAATCGCATTCCAATGCACGGTGGCAGGGAACATGTCAGCGGAGCTGAGATTATCAAAGCTAGTTTGACTACCTAGCCGTACCGGGGAGGAGGGGGGGGGGGGCATCCGGGACTCCCCCCTAGTATCTAGTTGCACGCATCTGGGCTCCATAAAGGGTACTGGGGGGGGGGGGGGGGGGTTATTAGGATTCTGGAGTTGTTGACAGGAAATCTTGGAGCTTACAGCCCCTAAGCCCTCAAACCCTGTCTCTCAGCCTAAGCCCAGCGTCTGGAGTGCTACGTGATGATGCACCGTCTGATTCGTTGGCAGAGTCTGCCCACTTTTCAACACCTCCAGATCGTAGTCCTGCATGGAATGGGAGAGCTGATCAGTTTAGGGTAGCAGAGCCAAGTACCCTAAACCCTAAATCCTTAACCCTGGGCTTGGGCGGGAGATCTGAAGGGTATTAGTCTACTATTAGTGGCAGGTGTGAGGGCTTACATTTGGGTTACAGAAGTCCCTGCTAACAGCGCATGCCAGAGTTGAGAGTTTGTAGTTGGTAAGCACTTTTGTAACAGAATCAACTAAAGAATAAGCCGCGTTTGCCACAGAATGGACTCGCAGCCCAAAAATAGGTAAAATAATAGCCCAAAACCCCCATCAATAGCCCAAAAGGCCATTCTACATACTTTTGGGGTTCAGGTAAACCCTAAACCGTTTAGGATTTAGGATTTAGGGAAGCCTGAACCCTCCACTGGGACCCCCAGATCTTGAGACAAAGTCCACCATCTGCTCGAGACTAGCATGGGCTTGACTTGGGTTGCGTGCGGTTCGGCTTCCAAAATCAGGATTGCGGCTCGTGGCTTCTAGCTTCGTCTCGCTTCAGAAGCACAAGAGAAGTAGCACATGAAGCTCCACTAAACCCTAACCAGTAGTTTCCATTTTATTTTCCAGTATCCCTCTTTAAATCCAGTATTAAGGAATATAACAATTAAAGGGGGATAATAGACCCTTACAGCAACCCAGCTTCTGTCATCCTAACTTGCTCGAAGGCTCAATTCGATGCTTCCGGGGAGGATTTCGCCGCTTCATGAACTGGCTTCTGGTCTCCCACTGTCCTTTCCAAAGGTGCAGCTAGTCTACGTCACAAACTCTAGGTAACCCTAAATCCTAAAGCCTAAACCCAAACACCACCTTTGCCTACACCCTACAGCCTAATCCCGAAGCCTGAAGTCCTAAACACTTGAAGCCTACCCAAGGGCTCCTATGTAGTTCCCTTTTGTGTCTGTTATGGTTTTTGGGGTAAGGGATGATAATATACCACCCGCAAGGAACTACATAGGAGGGTCTGGGTAAACCCTAAGTCCATGAAGGCCTATAATTGAAAACCGTACCGGCCTAAAGCCTACACCTTAGACCATCACACCCTGGATCCGTAAGCCTCAAACCCTGAACACGACGCCTGACCCTAAAGCTTACTTGTGACCCCAAAGACCTCATTGCCAGGGAAATAAAGAAATCTGTAAACCCCAAGCCCAGCCCTAAACTCTGGGGTTCAGGGTTTAGGGTTTAGGACCCAATCCTATAAACTCAGATCCATTACCCCCCAAACCGTAATCTCTAAACCCTATATAGTCCCCCCTAAATAGATAAAATACGGGGCATATGGGAATCCTATCATGATATACCCAAAGCCATAT